ATTCATATTTTTATTCATTAGACTATATGAACTGTACATCACACTTAACCCTAATTTTAACAATGAACATATGCTGTGGTCCACGTATGCGACACGAGGGCAAGTCAACATCAATGATATGTTAGTATAAAACATCATCTTTCAAGAACTGGCAACAATAGTAACCACTGTCTGTAATGGAGACTGGGAGCGGGAAAATGGACATGTAATTGAAAACAAACAAACAAACTAAAATCGATGAATTATATGTCTCTATTTACAACTCAAAATCCTGACAAATAAAAATAATGTTAATCAGTCCTTGAGAAAAATAACAGAAAAAATTAAAAACATAGAAGATCGTGCACCCTTATACAGGTTTTCAGTTGACGTCAATATTCTCTTGAAACAAACGCTCGCGAGGAAAATAATGATGATAAAAATGAAAAATGAAAAAACAGTCAGACACAACCCAAGATAACACGATGAATCATGATGTTGAAATTCTTCCTTCGTTGTCCATACATGTCCCCCCTCCCGTACGACAGGCCATGGGGTGGGGGGGGGGCGTCAAACAGCTGATCAGAGGGGGTTGCTGAGGCGCTCCCTGTTCTCCTCCAGCCACTTCAATATCCTCTTCTCTGTGTTGCGTCGCTCTTCGTCAGGCTGCAAAGGGACCAGGCAGTTATGAGTACAGATTTGCATCTTATAGAAAACTTAATGTCTTGTACAGTATATACATGTATATATACATACACACATACAAACACACACACACACACATATACATTAGAGAGAGAGAGAGAGGGAGGGAGAGAGAGAGAGAGAGAGAGAGAGAGAGAGAGAGAGAGAGAGAGAGAGAGAGAGAGAGAGAGAGAGAGAGGGGGGGAGACAGACAGACAGACAGACAGGCAGGCAGACAGACAGACAAAGAGATAGAATAACATATGAAAGATAACAATCAATAACAAAACTGGGACACAGCGCAGCCCATGTATCCCTTATTGCAGGCGTGACACGTTCTGTACCTTGGGGATGATGAAGGCGCCTGCCTCGTACTCGGCCACCGTCTCCAGCTGGCGCGCGTTCAGGGGCGTCCTGCTCAGCGTCGGGTGGAATCCAGTGCCGTCCGCATAGTAGGTGTTCCTGTGCTCATAGCCGTCCGAGCCCAGGTGTCCGAACTGGCCGGTCTTGGTGCCGTTCGTGTGACAGCGTTCCCAGTGGTAGTTCATCCTGTCGAGGCATTTGGTCAGGTTAGGAAATGGTGGCGCGGTGTTTATTCTAAATTCTTACTCACTCACCGTTTATTTCTACAACTTGGATCATTGCATTACCTGGTGTTGTAGTAGAAGAAATAAGGACAGCTATTTCCCGGGATACGAAGATCGTCGTCGGCATCTGGTCCTCCGAGCTCCTTGCCGCCGGCCTTGCCCTCGTCCTCGGTCACGGGCGGGGGCTTCGGGGTGGTGGTGGGAATCCTCACGCGGCGAATCTTGGGGAAGAATCCCCTTTCGTTGGCACTGCGGTGGTGGGGATACAAGACGAATGGAAGGAGTGATGTTTGTGAAATATGATCCATTTGATATAAGGCCGAAAACAATTTCAGTATTAACATAACAGCGGTGGCTTGAATCTAATAATGTGACAGTCTGCCCTAAACACGAAAGGTAGTGAACCTACACGTATGTGACGATGCGCCTCCAGCCGTCGGGAGCGTCCCAGTAGTATTCGCCCTTCTTGGAGCCGTCAGGAAGACCCGTCTCCGAGTGGCCGTGAGTGGGAGTGGTGAATCCAAAGGTATACGATGGCTCTGGCTCATCCTTGGGTCGAGGAGTCGTGGTGGTTGTGGTGGTTGTGGTGGTTGTGGTGGTCGTGGTCGGTGCAGGTCGTTGCGTTGTCAGGTTGGGGCGTCGCAACTGTCTGCCTTGACGTTCCTCAATCACGGCCTCTGGCTTGGAAGCTGAGGAGAGGACGAGTGGCATGAATGACAGGCGTTTGGAGGGACAGGCAGAGGCAAACAGACGGAAGTCTTATTTGCTTCCGTCGACATACATCGACAGAGCGAGATGGCATGACATTTAGAAGAGCTAAAGCCTCACCTTCAATAGCATTGTCGACGACGACGGGGACAGGACGAACCGTCAGTGGGTCGCGCGGTCTGGGGGTGGTCGTGCTGGTCGTGGTAGTCGGACGCCTCGTGGTCGGCACTCGGGCGACCGGTCGGCGAACTGCAATAGTGGGGGAAGGGGAAGAGGAGGAGCCGGAGAAAGAGAATGGGGCGTAGGGCAGGGGGAAGAAATTAATTGAGAACAGAGCGAAAAAGAAGTGTATATATAAAAGAAATGGGGGGGGGGGGCAAGAAAAGAGAAGAAATTAAAGAATGAGGAAAGTGAAGCGCGAGAATAGACCGAAATACGCAAAGGAAACCAGCGGAAAGGCAGGGGATAAAATAATATTAATATAACACCAGATGAAAAAAAATCTTATTCATCAATCATAAATACATTCAACGTCGTTGCAA